CAGCCAATAATGTAGCATCACAGTTCATGACTCAAATAATATCACATAAGTCACCATTAAAATAGCTTTACTGCTTCTTGACGTAAGCTTGCAAATCTGGAAGTATGATGTGTCAAAGATCATTCTTCCAAAACATCCATTAACACAAAGAGTATAGCTCCAAACGTGAGTCAGTCACTGCACACATGTCCTGTGTTAAAAAGCCATTGTCTTTTGGTCACTAGCTGATTTACCCTTCATTTGAACAGGTGTTCAGTCTATTTCAGTCTCAGGAGTGTGTTGAATCGCTTGACCATGTTAGTGTTTTATGCACTCATATGATAAATGGGTTGGGTTGCTATGCAGTTAATTCTGGTAGCTGATTGATCAACAAATCAGTGCTCAGGTTTTGGTTACTAAAATTCTAGTATTTTGTTTCCATATAAGGACTAATTGGCAGGCATTTGTGTCTGTGCAATGTGTCAACGCCATCTACACATAACTGTATTCTGACCTCTAAACACCAATGTAGCAGAAACTGTGAACTTAAACCTGAGGCTTTAAAACTGGAGGCCGCAAACCTGTGTGCTGCATCGTATCTTATGTCATATCTGGTTCCAACATTTGGAGAGCCATGATGTGTTAGTCCAGAGTCCTCTGTGATTGTAATAAGGTGATGAGCTTGACATCATTTTCACACTATAAGTGATCCCTCATCATTCGCTTACAAGCTTTATAACAACTCCCCATTCATCATTCAGGTATTTACATAATACTGGCCTTTTGAGACTGAAAGCCATTATTTTCCATCAATTATCATTGGGTATATTTATGACAACCCTTTGCAACCTATTACCAGGCAAGAGCATAGCTCTGAAAAATTTTGGATTGCATGTCAGAAAATTATTTACTTTATATTTCTCACCACCGGTCACTATTCAGAGCAGTGGCGAGACCTAGAATCACCTGGTAATGCTCATACGTCCGATACAGATAACAGTTTACGGGCATGGGAATTAGCATATGTGGCACGAAGGCTATATGGAAGCAAACATGGGAATATATCAACGAGATTATAACTCGCCCCCATCGTCTGGCAGCAGAGCCTCTTGTCAAATAATACTGTAATAAAAAACGTAATCGTGTCCGGGGAGGGATCGCATCAGAGACGGTAAACTGTATTTACAAACCAAGTTCCTTGTTTGCCGAAATGGAAGCTTCTAGTGCGTTATTTAATGTCGGTAAGTGCTAATATATTTGCTCCTATTTAAATTCAGTAGACATGGACTACATAAGAGAGCCAATAGCTGTTATTATGCCACCAGAATCTGAATAGTTAAAAGCACCCAGTTATATTTATGTGAATACAGTAGCCTGCTTTGATATAGTACTGATATCTAAAGTTAAATTCTTCTAGTCCATGTACTGATCCTTATCAATAAGCATTTCTAATCAACAGTATTGAGGAATCTTTTGGATTTTGATACTTCTGGGAGACATAACGACAAATGTGCTATTTTTTGTAACAAAAAGTTTTTATTGGCTTCTCTAATCCGTTCATCATCTCAATAACAGGTACAGCCTGGGAAATCGTATCACATGGGGTCTAGAACAAATAAGACAAAGGAACGGGGAGGCCTCTGCTACAAAATTTGGTATTGAGGTGACAGTCAGAAAAAA